GATCTGACTCCAACCTGGCGAATCATTATTTATTATACAGGGTAAGCACAAAAACAGTCCCCAGTTTCGAAAGGGGATAACTTTAATACTGAAATGACCATCTTGCCAAATTTTTAACATAGTTACATAAACTCAAACTTTTTGGTGGTGTTGATTTGAATCACAAACACTCAATGTGCGCGCCACCTGTTACGCAGGAAACATTGATGCGGTAATTCAGTTCCAACCACACGTGAAGCATATCCAGTGTGATGGAGTTGACAGGAGCACTGATGCTTTCTTGAATATCATTCAGAGTTGGGGGTAACAATTTCCTCCGAGACGGAAGGTCGGCCAGAATGTCCTTTTCTTTTATCACAAATGCACCCTGTTTCACTAAATGTTTTATGCCACTTCAAAATGGATTTGTGTGTAGGTGGATCAACATCAAAGCTTCGTTTGAACTCGCACTGCACTCTCAAAACACTGCTTGTTTTGCAAATTGTAACACATACCAGCTTCGTTGCAGCAGGGTGAACGCCATTTTCGATGTCACTGTCCTCTAGCAGTCGAAGTCATGCGTAGCAATTCTGTTAAGAAAAGAAACGAAAAATATTTGAGTTAACTGACTTGTGGATATTACATTTCTCAACATATCCAAGTAACTGTTAATTTTATGACACCTTGAAATCAGGGACTGTTTTTGTGCTCACCCTGTACTTTACTTTCATCACTTAATATTTATCAAAACATAGCAACTTGAGTAATGACTCATGTGGCGATGCCTAAACAATTTTTTTATGTTAGTAATTGAATAATAAAGGAGTATAATAGCCTTTTATGTTGACATTACACTTGGCAATAATTACAGATTTAAATTAAATGAACTAAAAATGTTGATGAAAAAAAATTTACCAAAAATTTCTTTCTGTATGCTAAATAGAGATTTTGTTGATGATACTCATAAACCCAAAGATTGCATTTAGGGCTATTTGAATTAAGAATTACTGATTTGATATTCACATAAACCTGGAATCAGCGCTAGGGTCAAGTCACAGAATTTAGGACCCACAGAAACCACATGAGGCAGTATGATATTTAGCGCCGGCCCTCAATAAGGCTTAAGTATATGTGCAAATTTATTTATTCAGAACTCTGATAAGCCTTAAGCATGTGCAAGAAATAGACATAAGTATAAAATAACTAATACAATTCAGGCTTATTTGTCTCAGAGCACGATAGAAGTGAGATAAAATTTAACGGAACAACTTGTTGTTAGTCGCCAAGCTCATAATGTATAGCCAAATATATATAATGAAGGATAGCTAAATCTGATGATGATTGCCGCTAATTTAAAAGGTTTTCAGCTATCACAAAACAAAGATGAAATCTTCCAATTAATGTATTTTGTAAAGAAATTTGGAGAAGCGAAAATAAATGAAGATGATATAAAAGAAGTTTTTCATTGTGATGACAATGATTCTCAACCATCAATCAATTAATGAATAGAGAAATCTGTAGCATAGTTGTAAATCCAGAAAATACCGCTACCGATAGTGAAGAAAGTGAGAGAGAAGTTACTGAAAATGAGAAAATTTCAATTGACAAGATAGTGGAATTCTCGATATGGCAGTTACAGGACTTCAACAATGCAATTGAATAAGATATTATGTCTGTTTGCAAAATTAAAGAGAAAGTATTAAAACAAAAAAATGAAACAAATAAATAAAGCTTTTTTTTTTTTTTTTTTTTGTGAATGTTGATACCCTTTAGATCATAAATACTTCATTATTTCATAAATCGCGATTTCACATTTTTAATTTTATAATTTCTGCATGCCGTCTTGCTAGATTTAAACTGATGATCTAATTAATATCCAGAAAAATCCCAAAACTGGAATAGCCGAAGTCCTGACGACTCCGAATTTTGGTCTTTGTACTGTATAGGCTAAAAACAAAGGGGAAAAAAATCATGTTAACAAGTTACTCAAGGCATCTAATAATGTTTTCTGGTCACCGTTCCAGACTATTGTGCTGTAACATTGATGACTGCTATTCAGTAAAACATCATGGATGGCAGCATTATATCTTCAAACTGCTGGAAAGGATATAAGAAAGAGGAATTCAGAAATGCTAGGTATGAATATTTAACTGTGAATCACAGTTGTAATTTTGTGGACCCTGAAACTGGATGCCATACCCAAACTACAGAGCGATTGTAGGGCAATGCTAAATGAAGAAATAAACAACAGCTGGGCAATGTTTGCAATCAAGTCATATTTGATAGAATTTATGTGACATCGGTTATATTCAAAAACTGAAATTTTTTCTGCAATAATGAATGATATTTGTAATTTTATGCTATATGTTTAGATTGAATTTCGTTTTGTTTTGATATTTTTTATTTATGTGTGGAATATTGTAGATTAAAAACTTGAAAAGGAAAATTTACTTTCTTTAGGAATTAAGAAATTTTAAAAAGTTTACATTTTACAGTACTAATTTTTTACTCTCTTGAACTCTTATTATCATTTCATAATTTTATACTGGGAACAACTGGCGGTGTGGCAAAAAAAAAAAAAAAAAAAGTGATGCATTTTTAACTGACGGCACTCTAACAGAATAGTACCATACTTCTTTAGGTATTTATGAAAAATCCCGTCGATCATTTTTTCCTATTAAAGAAAAGACGCCAAACTACAAGATTTTTCGCCAAAAATGGAAAAGTCTTCTTCAACTACTCTGGGTTTGCTGTAATCTTGATTACATGTGTTAGTTATTATTCTTGAGTACTCCTTTTATCTGCTATATCGCGCATTTTCGGAAAAAAAATTATTGAAATTTGAGACTGCTTACTACAGAAGAGCATGCTGCTGAATACAGTCAAAAGTCGTTAATCCGGACTCGTCGGGACTTCGGCGATTCCGGATTATAGATCATCAGTTTAAATCTGGTAAGATGGCATGCAGAAATTATAAAATTAAAAATATGAAACCGTAATTTATGAAATAAAGAGCAATTATGATCTAAAACGTATCAAAATTTACAAAAAAAAAAAAAAGCTTAATATTTATTTGTTTACTTTATTAAACATTTCTTTCAATGTAAGTTGTTTAAGTTGCTTCGTTTTTTATGTGATAATACATTCTCTTTAATTCTATAAACAGACATAATTTCTTGTTCAGTTACAAAAGTTCTGCTGTTCAAGTCCTATAATTGCTGTGTCGAGAATACCGACTAATTCGTCAATCGAAATTTCGTTTTCAATAACCTCTGTGTCACTTTCTTTTTGTTTACACTTTGCACGTCTGTGAAGAGATTTTCTCCGCAAAATGTTTTGCTCATAACTTTTCGCCAATCTGTTCCAATGTGCGTAAAACCAACATGGTCAGTGCATAGTTATACATTCAACATGGCAAATCAGTTGAAAATGATCAAACCAACACATGTACTTTATGCTTTACTAGCATGAAAAAATATTGACTAAACTGTTGTTCAAGAGCTTGACTGATAAGCTATATGAAACCTCATGGTATTCTTCTGATCTATTACCTGCAGATTTTCACCTTTTCCTCCATCAAACAGCTTACGAGGCATTTTATTTCAAAGCAATATGGTTTAATGAATTTTTGAATTACCTGTTACTATTAAAACAATGCCATACTACCAAAACATTGGCAAGCAATCATATAATGAACAGAACACAATATTGATAGATTCATTAAATGCTTTATAAAAACAAGGTTAAAATAAATGGGAGGGACAGAGGACTAAATCTATTTATCTGACAAATGACGATATAAGACTGGAATTAACTAGGAATGAATATCTGCACAGTAAAAGAAACAAATTATATAACAGAAATGTTTATTTTTTTAATCATTTCTATCCATTTTATTTGATGAGAATGTTCTCTTGCTCATTCTATTTAGATTAAATATTTACAAATGACTGGATTTTAACTTTAAAGATAACATAATTTGGTACTTTTCTGCTATCAGGACTGGATTCAGAAATGTATGAATGTATGTGCACATATATGCACGTTTTGATATGTGTGTGCACATATATGCATATTCAGATATGTGTGTACACACATACATTTTTTAATCTGGTCCCAATAACAGAAAAGTACCCAGAAATTTACTAGGCAGAACACTGCAGAACCGACTTTTACAGTTTTAGGTTTTGGTTTGATTTATTTATTTAAATATGGGAAAGCACTGGAGGGCTATCTACCTAAAGGGAGGGATGCCTTTCTAAGGGACACTGGTTACACATGGGGAAAAACACGAAAATGGCAATGCAGTCAGTCGGTTCACCAGGAATCGAACCCTGGACCAAGTTACCAGTTCTACTTTTACGGGTATAAATTACACATACCATGCTGTTTTCTTGAATTGGCGCAATTAAATGACAAACAAAATATTATATGTTATTTTACCCCAAAAAATATAGCATTAAATAAGTTAAATAAATAACACATTCTTTACACTAGCACCTTTTCAAAATTTTTCATATGCATCCGACAAACGTTGCCAGATTGATCTTATTTTTCAAACATCAGTAGCATATTATGCATTTTAACGCATAATCGCAAAATACTTTATGAAAATGTAAGATTAGCTATTTAATTTACTTATCATTGCATTTTAGCATTTGCATAACATTAAACTTTTTAAAATCACTAGTTTATGCAGATATTAATTTTCAATTGAACAATTATAAATTATTAAACATGGCACTATTATTTTACATTATTAAATTTTTAATTTATGCTACCTGTATTACTAATACGTATTACATTTTTAATTTATGCTACCTGTATTACTAATACGTATTAAATTTTTAATTTATGCTAGATGTATTGCTAACGCGTTTTAAGAACTTCAAAATAGTGAACTCACACAGCGAACCTAGCGGAATTTTTACACGTTAAGCCTGTATTCTCATAGGTCACTATACACTTCAAATATACACTCTATGTTTATATCGGCCCACATGATTGCATTGTAGCTGTCATATACGCGGAAGAACCAGTAAAACTGAACTCTGCATTGTAATGGGACGTTCAATGTTTTGATGTTTACATTGGGTAGCGAATGTTATAGCCGTTAAGTGTGTTTGCTCAGCAATATGGATTTCGTGAAAGTTATGACAGCAGAAAACCGAGTTAGTCGTGTAGACTATTTATTAACTCGGTCGAACTCTCGTCAAACGAGTTGTTTTCGAAATATAATGCTCAGTTTTGCTTTAAAACTGTGATCTATCGGATGCAATGAGAATACTGTGATCTTGAGAGACTGATGAATTCTGCTGAATTCATTTCATGCTCTTTTGTAAATATTTTAAAATCTGTGATAAATGCATCAGAAAATAAATTGAATACTCTTTTGATAATTGAGAACTCTTAAAAACTAGTACATTTCAATGGCTGTTGCTTCAACGGTGACTATACCTAATTTGTTTACATTCCAGCAACCTGCAGTAACAAATTATACTACTCTGAGTAGTCCAGATTCACCTACAAGGAAAGGATCTTACGGTGTAGGATCTAATGCAGTTGTTCGAACACGTCGTCGTGCAAAGTGCCTCTTCTCCAAATTCTTTTCTCCCAAATTTGTATATTCTTGTATACCAGCTTGTGCTGTACTGGCAGCATTAACCTTTACTCTGTTTATAGGCAAAGATTATGTGAAATATGGACTCTTGTGGCTGGACAATCAAGAAGAATGGATAGTATGCATTGTGTTTCTAATTTTATACACAGCAGTGTCATTTCCTATGACATGGGGCTATGTACTTTTAAATTTGGCATGTGGTTATCACTTTGGTCTTATTGCTGGGACAGTTGTGACAGCTATTGCAGCTAGTGCTGGCATTGTGTTTGCTCATCTGCTAATGAAACATTATTTTGTTGGTACAATCACAGCTAAAATCCTCGGGCCAGATGTACTGAAAGCAACTATAGCAGCTTTACAGAGTGCTCATGCATTCAAACTCATTGCAATTTCTCGACTTACACCAATACCATTTGGCCTTCAAAATGCCCTCTTTGCAGTGAGTATATCTTTAATCCTATATATCTACTTATATATTTCTGCAAAAAATTTCTTTATTCAACTAAACATCAGAACTATCTAATATGAAACTAACTTTTTATTTACATTCTAAAGATGTTAATTGTTTATAGATAAAATTAAAACTTTCAGAATATGTTACGTATATATAATATGTGTTGAAATAAAGTATGCTGCTATATACCATATTTGCCGGTGTATAATACATATTTTTGACATTTTATACTCATTTTTGAAGGATAAAACTTTATTACTGATCATTAAAATGAATTTACAGTATTTTAAATATAAAATAATAGAAATACAAATACTTTCTGTAAATACTCAATCTATCTGGAAAAGAACACCTTTTAATCTTCTTCGTCAAAACCCAGACACTAATCTCCAGAGCTAAGTGAAGAGTCACTTGAAGCCTCTTCTAAATCAGCATCCGAATCCTCATACTACAAATTGTTCTCTGTATCCTGTTTCCATGCTCTTTAGCATACACAATCACACGTAACTTGTATGCTATGTCATAGCAATGTTGACGTTGTTTTTGAGCCATAACTTGCCAACAACTTTAAGAAACTTGAACAGTAGAAATTTCACACACTTAAAAATCGTTCACAAAAACTGGAAATCATCACTGATGAGGGCAAGTTGCATGCATAATTCAAAATCTGTAGAAAAATCAGTGGCATAACTACAGGGAGGGCAGAAACGACCCATACTAGGGTTGTGATGTATATTTAAAATAACACATTTTTTTTAGGCAACTTATAATAATGAGAGAATGAAGAATAATGAGATTGTAAATTGCTAAGAAAAATAGTTTTTCATTTTGATAAAATATTTAAAGAAATCATGCGAGTTTTAATAGCTATGTACTTTTGTTACACAATTTTCGATATATTGAAACTTTTGAATGAAAATAATGAATATCAACTAAATTATGATATTTATTTTGCATTTATTTTGCATCTAAATTATGATATTTATAATTTGCAGTTTCTTCTAAAATACACTATCCAGAACAGTTTCAGATATTGTACATGTGTTGTAATAATATACTTGCATACTAACGTAAACACCTTGGCACACTTTTGTGATATTTTACACATTAAAAGGTAAAAGTTACATATCGGGTACAAAATGGTGGTTTTCGAGCTTTTTTTGGGGGTGGGAGGGATCCTTAAACTATCAATATTTACCAAAAGTCAGTAAACATTGTCAGCATATGAAAAGAAAACATGCTTTAGCAATTTAAAATACAAATTTTAATAGTTAAATAAAGATTACTTGATACATTAAAAAAAATGAAATAATTTCATTCTTCTTCAAACCTTTCTATAATTTTTTGCTGTTGTTCTTCTCCTGAAGTACACAGCGATCTGTTTTTCCTCAAAAAAACATCAGAGAATTGTGGAGACTTGGCTTCAAGCCAACCTTGGCAACAGCAACTATCGAGGAAATGCATTTCCTTGATTCCTTGTTCCCTTTAGAAAATTTTTAGCAAAATTATGTATTCTTGTAGAAATTTTACTACAGTTTCTTCCATTGCATGCAAGCTGCACAAGTTCATATTTTAAAACTCAAGATTTGTTTATAAAAAAACCATTGGAATTTGGAATATAGCAAAAAAATGAACAAAACAAATGTATGAAAATGGTGGTGTTGCTCGACTGAAGAATTATTATGCACATGATTACAAGAAAAATGGTTATGTTCATGGGCACCAGGGTTTGGCACATTGTGAAAATTTGGTAACTTCCACTGAGATGGTTGCGTTAATACATAAGTAGTGTAGTACTGCTTATTGTATAAATATTGCAGTATTTCTGTATACTTTAATCATAACTAATGTTAATGTTGCTAGTTGTGAGAGGAATTTTTTAAATAAAAATTAATTTTTAATTAAGAAGTATTTAAGAGCTACAAATATTTATTTTCATGTAAGATATCTTTCTATTATATTATCTACATGAACTGCTGAAGCAATCAAGTAGACTTCTACAATGCTATTGATGGTTTAGTAAGCAAGTAAAATAGTAATATAATTTTATAATTAGGGGCATAGCTACAGAGGGGCATCTGTTGCCGAGCGCAGAATCCAAGGGTCGCCAAATTGATGTTACCACATTTTAGAATTAAATGTTTTCCATCCTTGGCAAGTAGTAGGGGGTGCAAAATCTTCAGTTGTCCCTGGGCGCTGCAAACCCTAGCTACAACTCTGTTTATAATGTTAAAATTAAAGTTTTTCTTCAAAAGTAAACGTAGACATGAAGTTAGGCAAAGGAATAACCTTGTGTTTGCCATAGATTTTAGTCAAGATTCTATCAGTTTCAAGGCAAGCAGATACACTGCACAAAGAAAAAAAAAAACATGGGACAGATCTATATCTTCCGTTTTACTGGGCCGATTCAAAATATATTTTTCATGGCTCAAAAGTGCGACTTAGAGTCTGTATTAGATTTATATATAGCGCTGTTCTATTATAGGTATTTTGACACAAAATCGGACTTTTTCTGACTTGACATGCTTTTTTTTTTTCCATATTTCAATTCTAATACTCAAATTATACAGTCAAAAGTCGTTAATCCGGACTCGTTGGGACTTTGGCGATTCCGGATTTTCGATTTTTACGGATTATAGATCATCAATTTAAATCTCGTAAGATGGCATGCAGAAATTATAAAATTAAAAATATGAAACTGTAATTTATAAAATAAAGAACAATTATGATCTAAAGGGTATCTAAATTTACAAAAAAAAAAGCTTAATATTTATTTTTTTACTTTATTAAACATTTCTTTCATGTAAGTTGTTTAAGTTGCTTCATTTTTTATGTGATAATACTTTCTCTTTACTTCTATAAACAGACATAATTTCTTGTTCAGTTACAAAGTTCCGCTGTTCAAGTCCTATAATTGCTGTGTCGAAATAACCGACTAATTTGTCAATCGAAATTTTTTCGTTTTCAATAACCTCTGTGGTCACTTTTCACTATCGGAGGAAGCGAATTAATGAGGAATTTGATTTAAATCATATCAAAGATTGAGTACATCGAGATGAAATACTACATTTAGTAAGGAATTATAAGCCAATAAAAAAAAAATCTGCCCTGAAGATAAGGATAGTGCTGACAGATCAACTTCCAATTCATTGCGTGCCGCGGCGTTCCCCCTCGCCCACCTGCCGCAGAGTAGCGTGCTTGATAAACAGATTTCGAATGGTTAAATAAACAAAGGATATGCCTTTCCTTTTTGGCAGCAATTCCACTTTTGTTTAATGGACTTCGAAAACATCTTTCGCTTTGTAGATCCTTACATATTAGTAAATATATATCGGAAATTCTATTTGATGTAATCGAAAGTTCAAGCTTACTTTTATAAAATTGCTCTAACAGTCTGCAAAAAATAATAAGCCGTATCCTATTCGAAGATTAAGGAACAACGCAATCTGGAACATTAACTGAATTAGATAATTTTAGCTTAGCTTATACCATCCGTTATACATTAAACGCGCATGCATAAACGTATTTTGGGCATGCGCACACGCATGTTCGCAGCCGTAAAAGTCTTACGCGCATGCGCAGAAAGTTTGTAGCTTTGAGGTCTGGTTTATAGATCATTCCGGATTATGGGTGTTCGAATTAATGACTTTTGACTGTACTAAACTGCTAAGTTTTGTAAATTCGCACGAGTAGTTTTTAAAATATTAGCTCTCAAAATTTTAGCTCCTCAATGTTAATTGAATTTGGTATATCTTTATTAATATCTCTTTTTTTATTAAACTTATTTGATTATTCCTTTAACATTTCGAAATTTAGGTTCATTTCAAATAAAATGCGCACATTTTAAAAATTTGTATTTTTAAAATAATTTTATAAATTTTTCAAAAACATTTTAATTATAATTTATAAAATGTTTACCATCATCTTAAAATAGATGTATTTCTAAGCATACCTGCAAAAAATTAGAGTTTTTTATTCAAAATTTCCGAAGATATGCACCAAAATGCACCAAGATAAATTTTTGAATACCTCCGTAAATTTCGTACGAGATTTTACAAAATTTTATTAGTTAGGCATAATCTGAGTCGTAGAATCGAAATATGGAAAAACATGCTACGAAATTTTACAAAATTTATTAGTTAGGCATAATCTGAGTCGTAGAATCGAAATATGGAAAAACATTGGCATGTCGTTTAAAAAAAAGCCCTACTTTGTGTCAAAACACCTATTTTAGAACAATGCTATATATAAATCTAATATGTATCCTAAGTCGTGCTTTCAGAATATGAAAAACGCAATTTGAATTTTGTCAATCAGCCTAGTAGAACAAGAGATATAGAACTGTCCCCCCTTTTTTTCGCAGTTTACATTTCAGAATATAATCACAACACAAATATTTGTAGATAAATTATTTAAAAATAACAGTTATATTAATAATATAAACAAAAGTTTTAAAATGTTGGTTTTTTTTATTTATGTGTAATTATTTTTTTGTATTACTATTTTTTTTTATTTTTTTATTTTTTATTTTGCGAATATAAACAAGTTTTCACACTCAAAATCACAAATTCTAATTGCACAGGAAATCGAGTTTAATTAATGTGATGCCTGTGTTCGATGCATAGATGCATTTTTTTAATATTTGGCACGAACTCATTTAAGTCCCTTTATTCTTAACCTAAAATTACTTAATTTTTAATTTACCTCTTTCAAAAACATTTTCAACCTGTTTCTTGTTTTCCATCGTGGTTTTGCGTTTTTCATATTTTATTGATTGTCTTTTCTTATGTTCTTACATTTTATTTTTTTATATTTTTAAATGAATATTATTGATTTAAAAAGTAGATTAAATAATTTTAGCTTATTTTCTCCCTTATAAAATTAATATAATGATTTTTTCCTTACTACGTGATACAGCATTGGTGCATATTCAGGCGGCTACTAGCCGCCAGTTGACCCTTGATCATCACTGACCCCTTTAAAATTTCGTTGACCGCTGTTGGTAACCCCTGTCATAGACACATACCTAAATAATGTAGCCTTCAAATGCTTCGAGTACATTGCCCATTTTCTTTCAATATTTGACAAAGATTACGAGACTTACCTTTGCATGATTTTAAGATAACAAATTTAATCATTTTTGTACAGAAAGAGAAGTTTCATTGTTCATAATTTACGTTGTGGATAGAATTTTTATTTTTTATTTTAGAATAATTTACAGACTTCCATCAAAAGTTCGATTTTTTTTTAAATTTATGTGTAAACATTGTGTTATTTCACATTTTAATTGAGGGTTGGGCTTCACAAATACAATTCTCTCGGATAAGGTTTCCCATTTCAAAATTGCTTCCCAATCACATGATACAGAAGTTACTGCTCCTGAAACTCAAAACGGATCAAGCGAAGACCAATCAAAATTTGCCTTACGCATCCAATTAGAAAACTCCGACAATTTTGAAGCCAGAAGACTTTTAGTACCCTAAACAAAGTGTTAAGTTGCGGCCCATCGTTATTAAGAATGCCAAAACAACTTTGAAGCAGTTAATGGACTTATTAGAAGACTCTGGATTAACTGACTTTCATGCTAAACTAAAGGCAGACGACGAATACGAAATTAGTTTTTGAACTGGACATTCATCGCAAAATTACGTCTGTACTTGATGCTAAGGAGATCTCATTTCACATTTATCTCCGAGCTGCTGACAAAAACCTTAAAATGGTGATCAGAAGTTTACCATAATGTTCTAAAATTGTTGGAGCTTGGTTAATCTGCCCTTTAAGTCGACTAACACACTAGAAGAAAAGGACCGGAAATTTTTGAATTTCCCCACTTTCTCATCACCTTATGGAAAACGGAACAGACTCATTCTATCCACAACCTCCATTACGTGATGTACACTCAAGAGCCAAAAGATTATGATCACCTGTCAATAACGAGTTGGGCCACCTTTGGTGCGCAACACAGCTTCAACCCGCCTTGGCATGGATGCCACAAATCCTTGATAGATGGCCGGAGACAGATTGTAGCAGATGTTGTAACAACGGTCACGCAAATCTGAGATATTGCGAATTGGTGGTCTTTGACCTCTGAGCTGCCGTCCCATGACATCCCAAATGTGTTCTATCGGATTGAGATCCGGTGAGTTAGGCGGCCAGGACATTAACTGGAAATCAGCATCATGTTTCTGGAACCACTCCAACAGAATTGTAGCCTTGTGACACGGGGCGTTGTCCTGCTGGAACATTCCATTACCAGCTGGAAAAACAGAGGCCATGTAAGGGTGCAACTGGTCCGATATGATGTTCAGATACCTTGTAGCATTCATAGTCTGCTCTACCATAACCACGGGTCCCAGAGACGCCCAAGAGAACGTCCCCAAAAGCATAATACCGCCGTCACCCCCCTGTGTATGACCTATTGTGCATTGAGGGAGCAACTGTTCGCCTGGAAGACTGCCTATCCTGACACGGCCATCGGCGTGATGAATGACAAACCGTGATTAATCTGACCAGGCAACTCTCTCCCACTGATTCATGGACCAGTCGCGATGTTCCCGGGCCCAGCGCAGGCGCAGTTGGCGATGACGCTTGGTCAGCAAAGGCACACGAGTGGGACGTTTGCTGCGTAGCCCCATATTCAACAGTGTCCGCTGAACAGTGTGCTCCGTTACTTTTCTACTTGGCCCTGCATTGTATTCGGCTGTCAGCTGAGCCACTGTCTGGCTCCGGTTTTGCTTCACCATGCGAGACAGTCTCCGATGACCTTTTTCTTTGATAGCGTGTGGACGTCCAACACCATGATCGCGAACAACCCAAGAATCGCGCAGTTTCGGAAATACTTGTTTCGAGCCATTACAATCTGCTCTCTATCAAAGTCGCTTAGATCCGCAGCCTTTCCCATCACACAGAGAAGCAAGTGAAAGAATGCTTCTTCAGACTCTCCAGCAGCAGTTAAATACCACTTCCACCTGATCACGTGCCTTCCACGTTCATCGCAAAATGTAGGGCTGGTCATAATGTTTTGGCTCTTGAGTGTATATGAGGAATAGTCTTGAAACTCAGAGGACGGCGCGGATCTACTTAGTGCTTCCGTTGCCACTCATTTCATCATGCACAAGCAACGTGCGACACCCTCCACGCAGTGTCATGAGTGGATCCTTGGATTCACTTCATTCCCGTGTCACAAGGAATGAAGTGAATCCAAGGATTGTGCTAAGCCTCGGCAATGAGCCCCCAGGTGCGCCAACTGCGAGGGCCCATATACGGCCAGTTATCATGGTTCTGATTTTTATCCTAAACAGCGAGAAAGCAACCGCCCTACTGCTGGAACTTATGGAGAAAGTGTAATCACAAATGCCAGCGCAGATTTTTATCGCAAGCAAGACGTTGCCATTGTGAACCAGATTTCAGAAACTAAAGACGCATTAAGAGCTCTTACCTCTCTCTTGGACATGCTTAAAGATTTAGGCATTCAAAAGCTGGTCCAACATCTCAATATCAGTAGTGATAAATCCAATGAAACCGTCAGCCCAATCACCCATCATGAATAATACCCCTCGGGATTTTCTAGATGCACAATTCTCTTATGCAATGCTTGCAGCCTGTCTGTAATAGCTAGCGAAATTCCACAACTGTTCACATAGCTTTGGTTACTGAAACGCTCGTCAAGCCTCAGCATAGTCTAAGGCTTGCTAACTTCAGCATACACAGATATTACACAGTCAGATAAAGAGGAAATGGTGTCATTTACATTAGAAGGTTTTTGCCTCATCAGAACAAGAAATTCGAAAGGATGTGAACCTGTTAAAGTATGTGTGTTCTTACCAAAATTCAATAATGTTACGTTCTGATCCATTTACAACCCACCGGATAATCGTTTATTAGACTGTGATTTAAACGAATTATTCAATAACCATTATTCCATCTATATTGGAGGGAATTTTGATAGCAAGCACGTTGAATGCGGCTGTCGCAATCCCAAAAATAATGGCCGGATTATTAACGAATATATTCAAAATAAACCAATTTACCTGCATGTCCCTGCCGACATGATATTCTGGACGTTTACAAGAACCTGTAGTCTTGATTTAATAATATTTTATTTCTTTAAAGCTGCATGATTCTGTGCATAGTTAATTATTTTTTTCATTTTCATCATCTCCACTTTTCAAATTTTTATCTTCATTTCTCTTTTTAGGAAATTTCATCTTTCAATTTTTTTTCATTTTCATCTGAAGACTCAAATTATGCGCATCTACTCTAGGGAGAAATCTGATCTGTGTTTCAGAGTGCCCGTTCTTTTTCTGTTAAAAAAGCATTGGAGATTTTTAGAGATTCATACAATAGCAATCAGTGTTAATTTTTATAAATTTTCAGGGCTAATTTTGAAGGTTTGAGTACAAATTTTCTTCAGTTGCAGAAGTGAAAATACTGCAGCTATTTTTACATCTGCAGCCAAAGAAAAGGGAAAAAAGGCAGCAATGATTTGTTGGAGAAAATAATGCAGCTTGATCATTTGTCTTAGAAATTTTCATTTATTTGCAGATCAGTCCTGTGTGCCTGTGGCGATATGTGGGTGCATCTGCTCTAGGTCTTTTTCCTACGCAACTCATTAGTGTTTATCTGGGAACAACAGTGAGATCCATGGAAGAAGTTCTGGTAGATGAAAATACTGCCACTGTCGGTTACGGCGTTCTAATTCTACAGGTAAGCATTACATAAGCGTTAAATAATTACATCGTTATTTTTCAGGAACAATTTCTTCTTTCGGATATGGCTAACCAAACTTATCACGTTTATGGTTTATTTTTGCTGTTTTTTTTTTTTTTTTTTAAATTATTTTTGATGCTATTACTACCTAATAAAATGCTGAAAAGAGGACACCTTTTCTTTGAAGTTTAAATAGAATTAATGAGTTCGCATCTCACAATTAACCATCGTTATGATAAATAACATATTTCCTCGCGTGTTCTTTCGTAGCTTTTTAAGCCTAGGCTCTGAACATTTTAAACTTATTCGCGTAATTCCCTTCCCCCTCTTCTTCAATGGGTTCAGAGAACGAGCTCCGCTAAATTTTGAAATGGATTTGACCACGTAGTGATTGTTTTCCCTCTTACTAACAAATACAAACCATCACAAAATACCTGCGAAGGTCACGCCGAACCTTTCTCTTCTAAAGGGTCCGTTTTCATTAGTGCGGTATGACCGCGTTGCATATGCAGTTCTCCAGTCAGGGAACGAACTGACTTTGATTGATATATGTAACGCGGTAACGGAAAACGGATCGTATGGAGTTGAACCATGTTCAACTTCTGCCCGTATGTTTGCGAAAGCTTTTCTGCTCACTTCGTAAAAGAGTAATCGGATGGTGTCAACAAAATAAAATGGCGGAAAAAGCAAGCAGCGATGGACGTCCGATCAAGAAAAGAATGATTTGCTGAAAATAGTACTGGTACACATAATGTAATACATAAAAATATAGTCATTATAATGAGAAATTTTCGTATTGAAAGAGAGAGCAATCAACTTTTTGACTAAATTTTGTTTAAAAATAAATAATGAATAAATAACTGCTAGGTCGCATACAGCAGTGATCATTATCAGAAAATTCAGATAAAAAAGTATCTAATTCAAATCCATGAATTGACAAAATTTTCCCTGACAATTACTTCCCAGTTCTAAATTCCGCATATACATTTCCGTTTCATGAAAATTAACTTTTGACTGTCTCAAAACTTCTATAGCAAATGAGTTCTATAGCATTAGCAGTTCCCCCCCCCTTTAAAACAGGTAAAACAGTAAGTCGATTGCCCTTTAATAGTCTGCTTCATTAAATTAATGTTAAATTTGTATTTCACTTTTGTTTAGAAATGCACCCTTTAATTTATAAATATTCATAAGCACATTTTTTTATTTTGAATATATTTTTAGGAATTAGTCTAACTTCAATCGGAACGGCGCTTTTAAATCCCCCCCCCACTTTTTTTGTAGGAAGTGCACTATAATTAAGCTCAAAAACAAACCGTGACGAACGTTTTTAGAGGATAGCACATTGAAATGGGTCCAAAAAACTGAGTTTAGAAATTCATGTGTATATAAGTCAAATTTAAATAAGCTGTGTCATTGCGACAATACCTTGGAGGTAAAGGTAGTAATGCGGCTTGACTTCTGGGGTCGTGAGTTCGATTTCCTGCACTCTTTTTCCACCCTGTCTGTAACTATGTGTGTTCTAACTTGATCTGTATTTGTGTTTTATAATTTATTTATGTTATTATATGCATTAAATCTAATAATCTATTTATGATTTTATTTATTTATTTAAATTTTCCCCGTAAGAATTTATTTTGAGTTATATCATAACAGGAATATTGCCTATACTATAACAACATACTGCCTATATACACTACTGGTCACCGTAAATGCAACACTCTGAAGGAAGCATACAAATAACATGAAATTTACAACATACATTAGCGGAGGTGAGATATGCAAGTGATTAGAATTTCAGCGCAGACGCACATCACTGTAGTCTGAATCACTGAATTTCAGCGCAGACGCCTGTAGCTCCTCTTCAAAGCGCTATTTAATGCTTGGAGTTTTCGACGATTTCCAGTTCGGCAGTTGTGTTTTTCTTGTGGTTTATTATGCCTTGTAGTAAACAGCGATCATCGTTTGATCAAGTATCTGAGTTCGAACAGAGGAAGGATAGTGGCCTATCGAGAGTGTGGATTATCTTTAAGGAAAATCAGTAGTCGTGTTGGACGAAACCAAACAACTGTAATGCGGATATGTGACCGTTGGATGCAAGAGGGTATGACGAAGGACGTGTTCGATCGCATCCACCTCAGTGCACTACTTCACGTGATGACAGGAACATTGTGCGCATGTCAATGACGGATCGCTCAGTCACATCACGAACCATAGTACAGCGCATTCAGTCTGTAACGCATCATCCAGTGTCTTAGCGAACCATTCGACGCCGTTTACAGCAGAGTGGTCTGTCCGCAAGACGTCCATTGCTTTGTCTATCCTTGACGCAGAACCACAGACGTCTCCGCCGCCAATGGTGCGATGAAAGAAGGATGTGGACGGCAAAATGGAATGAAATTGCCTTTACTGACGAGTCACGCTTCTGTCTGCAACACTACGATGGTCGGATTCTTCGAGTCTGGCGATACCGTGAAAAGAGGATGCTGAACAGCTGCGTTATGCACCGCCACAACTGGTCTTGCACCGGGTATTATGGTATGGGGCGGTATTGGATATCACTTTCGCACTCCTGTAATACGCATTGCCGGTGACATTGAGGTGTTGGGAGCCAGTTGTCTTTTCTTACCTTCAGGGCTAGCCCGCAGCCATATGTCAACATAATAATGCGCGACCACACGTGGCACGCATTGTCCAAGGGTTCTTCGTCAATCGCCAGATTGAATTGCTTCCCTGGCCGGCTCGCTCTCCGGATCTTTCGCCGATACAAAACATATGGTTCTTTTTTTTTTTTTTTTTAACTTACTTGATTTTTTTCTTTCACATTTTAAAATTTAGGTTCATTCCAAATAAAATGTGCCCATTTATTATTATTTATTTTTTTAATTTATATTTTTAAATATTTTAAAAACTTCGAAAAAATGTCTGTATTATATATAACCTACAAACATTTTAACATAATCTTAAAGTAGATATATTTCTAGGCTCACCTGCAAAAAATTAGAGTTTTTTATTAAAAAATTCCTAAGATATACGTGAATTTAAATTTTGGCGCGTTTTGATGTTTGGCATATTCGTTATAAGTGATAATAGCGCCAAATGTGGTTTACGCTCTTTGTTAAAATTATTTGAAAATATGAGCGATGACCTTTTTTCCGCTTGTGTTCAACGAAACAAAGGAAAGGAAAATTGAATGCTATAAATTAAGAAGTTCATTAAGTAAATTATTCTTGACGTAAACTGAAAAAAATGAGCCAGGCTAAATTTTTAATTTCTCCGTAAATTTCGCACCAAATTTTACAAAATTTAATATTTAAGCATAATTCGAGTCAGAGAATCGAAATATGGAAAGCAACTGGGATGTCATTTCAGAAAAAGTCTGAGTTCCTGTCAAAATACCTGTATTAGAGCAATACTATATGTAAATCTAAAGTCGCGCTTTCGAGACATGAAAAGCGCAATTTGAATTTCGTCAATCGACTGAATAGAACGGGAGATATAGAACTGTCCAATCTTCCCCACAGTGTACATATTTGTGCATTGACTTTTGGATATTTTATTTATATCGTAGAGAATGGATTTTTGCAAATGCATTCGTGAAAATTTATTATTCACAGATGTTCCTTAAAATATATGTAGAGAGACAGAGAAAAATGGGGATGGGGGGAACTTTAAAACTTATCATATAAAAAGGTTATGAATTTAAAAATTATAAATAAAAAATTATATTTTATGGCTTATGCATAAAATATAACTGTGTATGATGCGCATAAAAGATGTTTCTAATAAATTATTCAGCTATGACAATGAAGAAATTTGGTGTTAAAATTCTGTGTTACATAGTCTCTCTCTTATTTCAAATTAATAGTATAAATTTGAGATTTAAGAAATTATCGTTGTAATCTGGTGTTACATATTACCTGTATTCTCTGAAATTTAGGTATATTTTTGAAATACAGAATCTGACATGGCAGTCAGTTATATACATTGAAAGGCATAGCAAATTCTGTGGAAGTACTGTGAGCCTTTCGTTATAGTTGCTCTGCATTTTTAAAATACCAACTATTTTTAAATGTGTTTAAAACATTTTTATTTGTTTTGCGTTAACAGTACGTTTTAATTATATATATTATTTCATAAATATTTAAAGGTATACTGATCCCCGTAATGTTAGTTATATTTGCAGCTATGAATATACCATTTAAATGCAGTCAGCAGGAGACATGATCAGGGCTTAATTTCTAAAATTAGAATAGAGGGAGCTCTATGGAAGACTGTCAGGAAGGAAGGAAACAATAAATAACTGCCCTTTCCAAAAGTTAAGGAACAGCGTGTTTTCTGTGTCTAATGTGAGAATGAAGCAACATAGAAACAAGAAATTTACAGGGCACGTTCACTAAACAGTTAATTAATGAATGCGATGTAAAATATTTCTAAAGTTTAACACAAACATGAATTACAACGAAAAATTGCACTCTTGGCAGAGAAATCCAGTCTTGGAGAAACATATTACAGTTTTTTGAGGAAAAATGGGGTGATAACATTGCAAAAATGGGTTCTAATAAGGAATGTGTCCACCGCTAGCTGCAATACATTGGCGGCAGCGACGTTCCATGCTGTCAATTAAGTTGTCGGTCAGTGAAATGGGAAGCAATGACCAGATACGGATTAATCCTTGTTCAAGCTCATCTAACACCTTGGAGGAGAATTTTAAGCAGCAATCTTTCTCCCAAGGTAGTCCTAAAGATAGTCTCTATTGGATTCAGGTCTGGGGTTTGAGCTGCCCATTCCATCCCCTCCGTACCATGACCCTCAAAATATTCTTCATCAACCCGAACTCGATGTGATCATGCATTGTTGTCCATCAGAAGAAATCCGGGACCAATAGCAGAGGCATATGGGCGGACATATTGATCAAGAATCTCGTCTCGATATCTCACATCGGTCAAAGTTCCTTCATGGAATACATGTAGTTCAGTGTGTCCACCGAGAGAGATCCC